TTCTGCTTATGTTCTTCCACAGAACGACATCGGCGGTCAGAGGAGTCTGGTGAACAAGTGGACCACCTTCCAGAAGGCCCGGATAGTCTGCTCAGTCCAGGAGGAGGATGGAACCGAGACCCACTTCGATGAGCTTGGTAGGGGGAGCCGACCGGGGGTCTCAGTTGTGTGGGGTCTCCTGTCAATCAATCAATCAATTAATCAATCAATCAATCAATCAATCAATCAATCAAATCAATCAAACTTTATTCATATACAGCTTTTCAAAACCGCAATACTAAGTGCTTAACAAGAGCAACAACAAGAACAAGAACTAAAATTGGGTTAAAATAATACAAATTCAGCGGATCAGAGAAATACGTTTGACTGGTAGATTCAAACAAACAAGATTATGCACTACTTGATTTGAAGAAAGCTCAACTAATAAGGAATGTTTTAAGATTTTATCAACATCAATTATTGACAGATTGTGATGCCCTCAGTTCCTCTGGCAGACTCTTTCAACAGTGAGGACAGAGGACACTAAACAGTGTGTAGGTTTCAGGTCTTAGGTCTCGGTCTTCAGCTTTATAGGAGCGATAAGGAGTGTCTGTGCCAGAGGAAACGAGGGATCTGGAAAGCAAACCTGTATTCCCTATTCAGGCATTAGTCCATTGGTCGATTTTTGGGGTTCACCAGTTGTCCTATAAGCTATAACTTGTGTCTCATGACAAAACTAATTAAAAACATTTTCCCTGAGGTTTAAGGAAATGCACAGGGCGTTGACCGAAGACCTCCCTGTCATGTACGGACAGCGTGTTCTTTTTGGATGAGCGAAACCTTTATTCATCCCAAAAGAAATGGTCACTGCCATTAGGAAATGTTCCCGAGCACATTGTTTAATCTGGAAAAGGACTCGGTCTTATATCATTCTTCAAAACACCCTTTTGTGTTGCCTTTCCCTTTGGTAAAGCGATTGTTTCCAAAGCCTTTTTTTTTTTACCTGGCTTTAGTTTGAGACTGAATAGGTCTCTTGTAGTTCTTTGGACAGGCGCTTCCTGTTCAGTTCTCAAAGATAAACATGTCAAGCTACAAATTTATCATACCGTCATGTCGGTCGTCTTTACTAAGGGGGTTGATGTGATCAGGCATGTAATCAGAAATGAAGTGACATCATATCCCTCCTTCTTCTTCTCCTCTCAGAAAGTGTGTTTTTGCTGGAGACGGATCAACCCAAGGGTCTTCTGGTGTTTGGCGTCTTCACATCCACGAGGTACGGCCGTTTGGCGCCGCAGCCAACCGGTTACATTCCCCCAGTCCGCACAAGGACACAATATCGAATAACTACTTACACACGCATCAGAGTCAATTGGAGGTCGTGTTATACATAAAAGGGTCTTACACTCTCCACTGCAGTACAGTAGCTAGGCTAGTGATATGCTAGTGTTGGGACTGGAAATGTCCCGCTTGTATTTGTTTCTCGTTTAGCCTATTGAGCCGTTTAGCTAAAGAATAGGCAATCGGTGTCATCGTAGTCATCATAACGCTAATTATGGGTCTGCTCCTTTTATGGACCAGGGCACGGGTAGCAGGCTAAACTATAAGTCTGCTACCCGTGCCCTGCTAGATAAAAGCAGCAGACCCATAATTAGTGTTATGAGCGACAACTGTGTTTGTCCTGCGATGACACCTCTGTGAAAACTATACAGCACATCTTTGGAAGTAGCAAATACTTTGGAATATTCTCAATCAGTGAAAATACTCCTCACTTATCATAGTAACAACACTGGTCTCTAGTGTAAAATTGAATGAACATAAATACGATGAGATATGGAAAAATGGGAAAATATAGATTCGATTTAGATCTATGAGAGTTTAAAGCGAAAACCAAAACCTTCCCTTAACTCCTTTTTTATGGCCATAAATGGGCAGCATACATCTTACAAATCCACAAAGAGCACCTCTGCTCTCACATTGTTCCAGTTTCCCAGCACTGTTTAAACGCTGATATCACTCTCACCATCAAAGCTAACGGACTCCTGCGGTATAGATCGGAGAATTTGCGGTTTAAACTTCAAACCACAGAAAAACCTTTGGGAATCCTCAACCAAGTTCAGGACTGGCTGATCAAATGTCCTTTCAACTTTATAGGACATTTGTTCAGTTTGTCCTGAACTTAATTAATATCACCTGTTTAACAGAGACTGACTCAAGTATTACTCTTCGGACCAAATGCTGTAGTAATAGCTTAGCTGTAGTTCTTCTGAGCACAGCTAAACCGAAAACAGTTCCTCTAGCCCTGCATCCTATTAACTCTGTCCTGAATGCGCTTCGATTCCCCTTTTTATTACCCGTTAGATTACTGCATTTATATTTAGATGAATGGACCAAAATCTAAAACACCCAAAATCTGGTTAGGTTGTGTTGGTTTTTGCTTCCTCTCATGGGAACTATGTGTGTCTGTTTGGTTTCTTCAGCTCTGTGTTCAAAGGCTCGGCAGTGTGTGTGTACAACATGGCCGACATCCTCACCGTCTTCAACGGGCCCTTCGCACACAGAGAGGGCCCCAACTTCCAATGGGTTCCCTTCCAGGGCCGCATCCCCTACCCAAGGCCTGGCACTGTGAGTTCAGATTTATTTCTCTCTTTTAATCATTAGACTGTTTTGGAAAGGATAAGCTTGCATACATTGCGAACAATAAAACAACGTAATCGTATAAATGTCTAAATGACAGAATAGCGTAGTGGCGACTCCCAACCTAAAGATACTGGGTTTGATTCCCAATGTCCGCACTTATCTTGCTAAATTACTAAAGAGTAGTCGTAAATAGGATACTGTTGATGGTGTGTCTCTCAGATTTTATTTATTATTTACTACTAAATAGTACTACATTTATTACGAAATAGAAAATGAATGACTGTTTTTCCTCTCACTTATCCAATTCCCTTCTACACACACATTTGCACACTTAAAAACACACACCATCATCTCTCCTAGTGTCCCGGCGGCGCCTTCACCCCGGACATCAAGACCACTAAGGAATTCCCTGATGATGTGGTGACCTTCGTGAGGAACCACCCGGTGATGTTCAACCCTGTGTACCCGGTGGGCCGCAGGCCCCTGGTGGTCCGCACCAGCGCCGACTACAAGTACACCAGCGTGGCGGTGGACCAGGTGGCGGCCTCCGACGGAAACTACCAGGTCCTCTTCCTCGGCACCGGTACGTAGCATTAGGGGATGTGCTGATCTGTTGAGAAATCATTTTTTTTGTTTGTGGTTGTTGTTGTTGTTGTTTCATTAGCTTAGCTTTATTTGATTTTTTTTTGTTTTCGGTGTAGAGCAATAATGTTAGAAACCGGCATCAAAGTTGATAATTCAGTGAGATTGTTCGTCGTCCTCGAGTCAAGTCATCGTAAAGTCAGGAGTTAAAGAGATTTGACTTAATTGCAAGACCCACTTTTGTAGTCTAAACGAGTTATGGTTAGAAAATATGCCTTTAAAATGATAAAACATGAGGTATGAAGCTAGTCTAGTCTGATAACATCCCTAAAATGACTATATACTTTAATGTAACTGTTTCAAATTATATTTCAAATTCGTGAGACTATAAAAGTATATATCGATAGTCCTCATAATATATTGAGGTATACATAGGTAATGTTTGGCAAACATTTCCATTTAAAATGAATATGGATGATTTCCATCAATCTCCGTCCAGCTGTTCATTAAGGGCTGAATTTTCAGTCACTGTGTGTACACTCGGTGTCTCACAAACCTGTATGCTATGTGTGGATACACGGCAAGGTTAGGGTCTTGGGAACGGTTCGTATTATGTCTTTTCAATGGAACTAATGGTATGCTGTTTTTATGTCGAAAACCTCAGTGCAAGTATGTATTCTCCTTGCTATTGTCTGACCTGACAGAAAGCAGCTGTGCATATCAGAAATTCTTCTGCTGTGGTTATACAAATACATTGCCCAATGATTAGAAGAGGGCGTGCAAGGCTGATTACAGTAAACAAGCTGATCTGGAGATTATATTAGGGTTGCTTTTTTTCAAAGTAAAAGCTCCCTTGATGTGGTCTTCAAAAGCTACACATCCTTTAGATTTAAGTTACAGATTAGAAACACATTCTCCTGCCTGGTTTCTAAAAAATAGAAACCAACTGGACAGAATGCAGAGTAACTTTTGGAAACTCAACACAAGGTACATTTTTCTTCTCCTCTGTGCATAATAGTTACACAATAAAAAATGCCAGAAACCAAAATACGAGCATGCGTTTTTCGTGTATAGATATGCACGTATATTCATGTAGTTTGTGTGCGTGCATGTGTCTGTGCTGCTCTGGGATCCTCACCCACAGCTGTGTGCGGTTATCAGGCCTCCCTCCCTCCCCCCTCTCTCCTCTAGGGATAGGGAGGGAGTGGCGAGGGAAGGAGAGAGAGGGGGGGGGGGGGGGGGGTGGGGGGGGGGGGGGGGGGGGGGGGGGGGGGGGGGGGGGGGGGGGGGGGGGGGGGGGGGGGGGGAGGAAGGAAGTAAGGAAGGAGGAAGGGAGGGGAGGGAGGGAGGGAGGGAGGGAGGGAGGGAGGGATGCGCTCCCCTCCTCTTCCCCATGCCCGAGCTCCTAGAATGGGGAGCCAGTCTATTCCAGCCATGCCTGGAGTCCCATAGTTTTGTCTATGATATAATATATAGGGGGCAGGATAGTGTAGTGGCTAGGGTGTTCCACCCCCAGCCTAAAGGTTCTGGGTTCGATCCTCGATGTCTGCAGCCTAACCTGTAGGCATCGTAGAGCAAGACGCTCCTCACACCTACCTCTCCTTAATGGCATGTATCTGATGCCAAATATCTGCTAAATTTACCCTTGCATGTTTCTTCAAGGTCATTTCAGAAATAGCCTCAACTATTTACATGTCAGTGGTAAAAGGGTCATGGTATTCCTATGTATTTACATTTGGTGGACGCTTCTAACCAAACTGTATTACAATACCGTGTGTGCATACATTCTTTCTTGGCATGGGTGGCGCCAGAGGGAATCGAACCCTTGACCCTGGCGGTGTTCACGCCATGCTCTACTACCCAGTAGAGCTCGTCAAGGATGAACTTGACACACTGCAAAAACCAGCAATCATATTGTATAACAGAGGGTTTTTCCTTGCGTGCACACACACACACACACACAGGGATGTGTAATGGATCAGAACATTTACGCGTTCGTGACTCCCTTCATTGGTGGATGAGGTTAGCCGAGAGCTCCTGGCGAATCTCTGGTGGAGGGCGGTTCTTCTGGTATTTCACCCGTCCCCCCTGCTCGCCTCGGGGTGGGGACGCTACGGTTCCCATTCAGCCTCTTGTGGTTTTGCTGGAGGAAGTACGCCCCATTCACAGGAACACAGAGGTGACCAGGCCAGGGGCTTAATGTTTCATTCAGAGGAGGTCATTTTTTACAAGTCAATAGGTTTTTTTTACAAGCCTTGTAAAAAAAAAACCTTCTTTGGAGTGTTTTTGTGAAGTTGTGGATTTTGTGTTTGTGTGTGTTTGGTATGCCTGTGTGTGTGTGTGTGTGTGTGTGTGTGTGTGTGTGTGTGTGTGTGTGTGTGTGTGTGTGTGTGTGTGTGTGTGTGTGTGTGTGTGTGTGACTGTGTGTGTGTGTGTGTCCGTCTGTCTGTGTGCATGTGTCCATGCCTGTGTGTGTGTGTGTGTGTGTGTGTGTGTGTGTGTGTGTGTGTGTGTGTGTGTGTGTGTGTGTGACTGTGTGTGTGACTGTGTGTGTGTGTCTGTCTGTGTGTGGTATGACTGTGTGCATGTGTCCATGCCTGTGTGTGTGTGTGTGTGTGTGTGTGTGTGTGTCTGTCTGTCTGTCTGTCTGTCTGTCTGTCTGTGTGGTATGACTGTGTGCATGAGTCCATGCCTGTGTGTGTGTGTGTGTGTGTGTGTGTGTGTGTGTGTGTGTGTGTGTGTGTGTGTGTGTGTGTGTGTGTGTGTGTGTGTTACTGTGTGTGTGTGTTCTACATGGTTCTGACCCATGTCCCCCTCCCCCCCAGACCGGGGGACGGTCCAGAAGGTGATTGTTCTGCCCTCCAACGGCTCTCTGGATGAAGACCTGGTGCTGGAGGAGCTGGAAGTCTTTAAGGTTGCTCGCTCTCTCTTTCTATGTTCCCCTTTGTTCTTAAATATCTTTTGCCCTCCCTCACTTTCTTTCTTCTTCTTCTCTTTCTTCTTTTTAACTGTCTCTCTCTCTCCTTCCCTTGTTTTCTCTTTCATTTTTATTCTCTCCGCCAAAACTCCTCACATCAAAGCCCTGGGATGGGGGGGCTACGCTTGGCCACAACAAAAAGGCCAGCTGTCTGCTGGCCCTCACACACACAGATAGACAGAGACAGAGACAGAGACAGACTGACAGACAGATACAGAAACAGCCACAGACACAAAAACAGACACAGAAACAACGAGGAGAGAGTTAGACAGAGACAAGACGGACAGACAGACAAACACGCAGAGACAGACAGACAGACTGAAATACAGACAGACAGATGTACAGACAGACTGACACAGAGACAGAGAGACAGACAGGCAGACAAAGAGACAGACTGACACAGAGACAGACATGCAGACAGACAGAGAGAGTCGGAGTGTCTACGTTTTGCTCGTGCACGATAAGTTAATGTGAACCATGCCCACATATGGCCAGCATCTTGACACTCACCCAACTGCTTCCACCTGCGAAGAAATAGAATAATAATAATAATATAAAATTAATACACACTAAAGCCTGTGATTTATGTTATCTTGGTGTGACCCTGGGCTAGGTTGGCACCCTCCACCAAAGGAAGGCATAGATTTATACATAATAAGAAGATTTTGAATGGCTAGGAATGATGTCAACAAACTCTCCCTGCTGCCAATGCCATGAGAAGGCATTTTGTTGTAACTTTGATAAACCATTGTTATGTTTTTGTGTTTTTCCCACTGCTAAATGTGATAAAAATGTGTGAGAAGTGGGGGGCTAACTTCCCAGAATATTTTCTCCCAAACGTAAGAGTAAGCTGAGAGACTAATTTTCACTGTGTTATTTTTACAGAGCCATGTGCCGGTAACCAACCTGAGAATTTCCTCGAAAAAAGTAAATATTAACAACACATTCAAGTTAAAATATGTGTTATTATTACTCTTTTTTGTAATTTTTGTCCACACGCGTTTTCAAAACTTTGTTGTGCTCACTGAAACGCCAAAAACAACAAAGTGTTTTTAATTGGCCTGCCAATGGACTTAAGACAATGCCATAGAGGCATTGTTAACTACGCTTACCAATGTACATGTTGACATGTTGACATTTTATTTACCTCAACTTAACTTTGCTACTTTTTTGTATTTATTTATAACTTATAAGTGTGTTTTTGTACTATGTAGATGGCCCTCACCTGGTCGTAAGAAGAATGACCACGTGTTATACTGCACATTTGTTTCTGAAATGTAATGAGGCTAAATGAGGCGAACAATTAACCCCACTGCCACCTGCTTCATTTTTCCCGACAGCCAAGTTGACCTTTGAACTCTTCAATCTTTCGCAGCAACAGCTGTACGTCAGCTCAGACCACGGCGTCTCGCAGGTGTCGCTCCACCGTTGCCATGCATACGGCTCGGCATGCGCCGACTGCTGCCTGGCGCGGGACCCCTACTGTGCCTGGGATGGTCTGAGCTGCTCCCGGTTCTACCCCACCGGGAAGAGGTATGGAGCGTCGGGAATACAGAGAGGAGGAGATTTCCCACTGAAAAAAAAAAAAAAAATTCTGTGATTTTAGGCTAATGTCGCTAGAAAAACAGACTTTATGACTTCAAAGACTTCAAACCTTCACTATTAGAGTTAATGACGAGAGGGAAGAAGTGGGCAATTTTGGTGAAAGTACTTAAAACCTAATTTTGTGGGGGTAAGGTCAGAAAAGGGTCATAACGTTTCAATCGTTTGTGTTTTTTTTGTCATAGTAAGATAAAATTCAATAAATGATCCCCCAATGTCTCTAGGCACCCTTGAGCAAGAGGTCTGAAACCTACTTGCTCATTAATGACATTCGTCACAATTCACTGTGAGAGTGTCATTAAATGAATGACCAGTATAATAGTGTGGATAGTCAGTGAATCCATTAGAGGTGGTGTATGTGTAGCCTAGCCTCCTTCTAGACACAACACAGACGAATACGCGAGAATGACAGCTCTGCCTCTCTTGCTGTTTGAAGGCAGCTGTGGGTGTTGACGTTCCAGTCAGACACAGGTCAAGTTTGGCTCAGACAACCTTGCCAAACATGTGTCTAAAAAAATGTGCGCCTGTGCTTTCTTTTAAAGATGGCAAGTATGAGATTGTATCACAGGCTGGGGAAAATATGTAAAATGCCGCTGCTTGTACAGTCTCTGAAACATCCTTCTGCTTGTCATGTAAACATGTTGGGTTATGTTAGGGTTATGGTTACAATCGTCCACAGACCACCCAAGTTCTGACATCATTTGGGGGGGGCTTCAGAATTTATTACGATTCCATATTTTTTGGGCATATGAGGGAATCATTTTTGGTTACTGTTTATAATTCGTCCTTTAAACAAGTAAAGTTTTCTTTTAAGTTGTTGTATGTTGTTTTTAATGTTTCTGTCAATCCTGGTGGATAATCAAGAAGTCTGGATCTGAAGTAAAGTAAAGTAACTGGCATTAGAAATGCTACGAGGTGAAACCACCATATGGCTTGTCAACCTTTGCTAATATTTCAAACCGCCGTAGGTTTTTATGCACCTATGAAGTCAAATGTATGGATAAAACAGTATCCTCAACCCCCCCATACATACCTCGATACCATACAAACATCTGAATTAATCCACTTCCTGTCTGACCTCACTTCCTGTCCTCAGACGCAGCAGAAGGCAGGATATCATGCATGGCAACCCGCTGACGCAGTGCAGAGGATTCAACCTGAAAGGTTATCATGCTACATGCCATACATTGTTGCCAGGGGCCCTCATCTGTCGTTTCCAGGGCCCCTCATTGTTACCAGGGGCCCCTCATCCATTACCAGGGGCCCTCATTGGTTACAACTAACCAAGGGCCCCTCATCTGCATAATCATTTCACTATTGGCTAATATAACGTATAATATAACCTATGTGGCCCTTATCCTATTTAATGATTAATGATGATTAACTGTCATCCAAAGAAAAATTATAACAGATTAGTGGGAAAAGTGTGTGTGTGTGTGTGTGTGTGTGTGTGTGTGTGTGCATCTCCCCATAGACCAGCGTGCTGGTGTGAGTGCCATATTTCACTGTGAATGTTCAATCCCGTTAGCAGTTAGGCATGCAGGTGAGAGAACAGAGAGCTAGTGTACATATGGCCATTAGTGCTAATTAGCCTGTAGCCTGTCACTCATCTCTCTGTGAGGGTAATGAACCAGTTCACCTCCAGAGAAATAACAAATACTGATGGGTGTCAGCACATCAGACAGGACACTTCAGCTGCAAGGACACAGAATATATGGAATATATAGTATGAACATATTGTGTATACTGTATGCATAGGCCTATATAATGTAAGAATATAGTATGTATACATAGTAGATGAATATAATGTGTTTATACTTTATATAGAGTAAGAATATATTTTTGTGTCTATAGTAGTAGTACATGAATATGGTAGGCTATGTATAAAGAGTGTAGGAATACAGAATATAGTATATAAAGAAAATATACTATATAAAGTATAAGAATATAGTTTATATAGTGTACCATGTATTTTTCTCAGTTGAAGTTATGTGTTAGCGTTAGCCTTTAGCACAGCGTTTGGTTGTTTCTGTTGGGACATGCGTGCACACACACACACACACACACACCCACACACAAACCCATCCGTGTGTGAGAGTAGTTCTGTCACCAAATGATAAACTTACCTAACTTTGGTCTTCTCCTTCCTTGATGTACATGCGTGCGTGTTTCGTGTGTGTGTGTGTGTGTGTGTGTGTGTTTGATGTGTGTGTGCGTTAGCTTACCGTAACGCGGTGGAGATGACGCAGTACGGCGTGCGCAACAACACCACCTTCCTCGGAGTGTTTCCCC